TCAGAACTATTTTTGAAACGTGAACAAAATTTGGAATTTCAAAAAACATTTTCTGAAAAGTCAAACGAATTTCGAAAAATCTGAACATATTTTGGATATTGAAAATAGTTCATCCAATTCGAAAATAGTTCATCAAATTTAAAAAAGTTCACTGGTTTTTAAAAAAAGTTCATTGAATTTGAAAAAAGGTTCATCGATTTTGGCAAAAGTTCATGGAATTTGGTGAGAAAAGTTCATCGATTTTGCAAAAAGTTCACCGAATATGAAAAACGTTCATCGATTTTGAAGAAAACTTCATCAAATTTGAAAGAAAGTTAATAAAATTGAAAAAAAGTCCGTAGATTTTGAAAAAGATAGAAAAAGGAAAAAGAAAAAGGAAAGGCGAAAAGAAAGTACAACAGAAAAAAAATAAAAAAGAAAAGCACGTGGTCGCGTAAGTTAAAAAGGAAAACAAAAAAAGGAAAAAGAAAGAATAACGAATACTAGACGAAAAAACTAAAGCTGAACCATATCCTGCCCTGTGGTCGCGTGGTTGAACAAGCTGTCCTTGAGGTGGAGGTAGGTGGTTCGAATCCTGGTACCCCACTTTTTTGTGGATTAAGACAAAAAATAAAAACACGTAATGGGCCGGCCCAGTGCGGCGCGGGGGGTGTGCGCCCGTTTGCTCCCATGCCTGTAACGGACGCAACGGGCGCCGTTTAGGGAATGCCGTAAGTAGCACCACCTCGCCTCCCCCTGTGCCGGCCCATTATCCACGCTTTAACTTATTAGCCCCAATAAGCTGCGCTGTCTTTACGATATATAACGCGGATATTCCTATTTAACGAGACCACCTATTTAGCAACCTGTGCGGCAGATAATAGTGACACGCGAACCAGCAACCTGTGCCCCCTGCTTTTCCTGTTTTTTTGGCTTTTGTTTTTCATGTTTTTTTTTGTTCTTTTAATAAATCAGTATTTCTAAAAGTTATATATTTCTAAAAGAAAGTTCAAGAAATCATAAATATTCACGGATTATAATAATATTAGCATATTCAAAAAATGTTCACGATTGCTAAAATGTTCATTCATTTAAGCAAATATTCACAGATGTTCAAAACTTATTCCCAAATTAAGAAAAAAAATCATAGCTTCAAACAGAGTTTAATGCCTTTAGCATCAAATTAGTGTTGCATCATCTCACTCTGTGTGATCGGTTTATCCGGTTTACATGGTTCGGTTTATACAATTTTCATTTTGTATGGTGTTAATACTTCGGTAAATACGGTGTGAAATTAAAATATGGTTCGGTTTTGGTATATACGAATTTATCAGTATGGTTTCGATATATATCATAATAACAAAGTCGATACAAATTTGAAAATGACGTACTAACAATTTATAAATTTATGACTCAAAACACATACTATTTTACACAAATAGTATATAACTATATATATAAGTATATATACATGAATGGATACATCCCTTGATGGTTATGGACGTGCTTAGCATTTTTTAAAGAGAAGAATGACTATGTTAAGAGAAAAATGTTTGTGCTTGGTAGTGGATTTGACTCATGTACAAAAAAATGATAACTTGTACGGTTGTTCGCCTCAAGAAATATAAATTTATTTTTTACTTCGGTTTATTTAGTTAACCGTTTTGTTTTCGGTATATACCATATAAATCAAAGTTTAAAATGGTATGAAAAGTTTATACCATACCAAAACCAGAAACCATAAAAACCGTAAAATTAGTTCGGTTCGGTTTATTTTTGGTATGGTTTTTCCGTTCGGTTTCATATTTTTTTTGAGGAATCTGGCAATCTTTATTCAATCCAAGAAACAGTCATAGGTACAGATGCTGGGTCATGGGGTGTGCCCAACCAAACATGACGCCCTATACCTAGCTTACAGGCATATTTTGCGAGATTATGAGCCTCGAAGTTGAAATTCCTATGCTCATGAACAAAAGAGCAAGAGCTAAAATTATTACAATGACTCAGTATTTCATGCACAATGGATGCATTTGGGCCTCCGGTGCCCCTGTTGATGTCGTTAATCACCTCCTGGGAGTCCGAGGCCACATAGATGTTTCCTACCCCAAGGTCGTCGGCAAGTGCTAGTGCCTCCCGACAAGCATAAGTCTCCAAAAGAAGAGGATCCTGTGTGTGGTGATAAATCACCGTCGACGATCCCAAGTAGACACCGTCCTGGTCCCGGCATAGAACTGCCACTGCTCCTCCTCTGCTTCGCCTTGCCAACGCCCCATCTACATTCATCTTGACGCTGCAAGCCGGCGGTCGAAGCCACCTCAATGGCCTTTCTTGGGCGGGTGATATAGGCGCTGGATGATGCTCATGTGCAGTAATGAGGCCAAGATCGCTGATGTAGTTGTTGACAAAGTTGACAGTTTGTTGTCGGCTTTGGAATATTGATTCATATATAGCTTTCCGACGAGCGTACCAGATCGACCATAGAGTGATGACCATACGTGTGAAGTTGACATGGTCCAATCGACTCGTGTAGCTGAAATAGCCAGATCCTCGCATCGGCTTCCTCGTTCTCGGTCATGCTGGTTACGATGGTGTCTTCAGTTAACTCCCACACACACCTCGACATAGTGCAGGCGACAAGAGCATGTCTCCATGAATCCTTGCATCCACACAGCGGACAAGCGTCTCGGGTAGACATGTTCCTCCGGTTCAAAATATCAGTAGTTGGCAATTAATGATGTGCCAACCTCCATAAGAAGATTCTTATCTTTGAGGGAACCTTGATTTTCCACAGCATGCTCCATGATTTCTCATCTCTATCGGAGCTAGATGAACCGCCCCGACCTTCCAACCATTCCTCCCTCTGCATCTTTGTTCGTTGCAAGAATTTATACGCCGAGCTTACCGTGAAATTTCCCTTCTTCTCCGGAAACCAAGCCCAGAAATTTTCTATATTGCGTGTGCAAACTGGTATCCTCAAAATAGCTTTGGCGTCGAATCGGTAGAAATACCTTTCTAATGACTTCTTCGTTCCAAGATGCTGCACCCGGTAGCATTAACTCTGAAACATACCTGGGAGGGTCGGCCACGAGCGAAGTTATCGGTCGTGGAGTCATCTCTTTTGGTATCCAGTTGTCAACCCAAATCTCCGTTGTTTGGCCATTGCCGATCCGACGAATGATTCCTTGCTTTAGCAGATCACGCCCCTCTATGATTGCACGCCAAATTTGTGATGGTTTTGAGCCCACCATTGCCTCTAAAATTGTTCCCTCCGGGTAATAAGCAGCTTTCAAAATTCTTGCACTCAGGCTCGTTGGTTCTTGTAGTAATCTCCAAGCTTGGCGTGCCAGCAGGGCCAGGTTAAACAGTTCAAGATCTCTAAAACCGAGGCCTCCCAAATGCTTTGGTCGCGTCATGATATCCCAAGAAACCCATGCAGGCTTTCGTTCACCTTGTTTGCAACCCCACCAAAATTTCCGGATAATAGATTTTATGTGATCGCATAAACCTCATGGCAACTTAAAACAAGACATAGAATAGACCGGGATAGCTTGGGCTACCGATTTGATTAGCACATCCTTTCCACCAGCTGAAAGGCACTTACTCATCCACCCTTTCACCTTGTCCCAAACTCTATCACTCAAGTATTTGAAAATGCACGGAGTGGGTATCACCCAGAGTGACACGTTGTGGGCCGACCTAAGTTGGTTCAGATTCACATTTTTTTCTTTCCGGTTTTGTTTCCATTGTTTCCTAGTTTTCTAATGTTTTATTTATTCCTTTTCCCTTTCATTCCATCTTTTTATTTTTTTACGTTTTTTTAGTTTTATCTAGGTTCTAGTTGGTTTTATTTTTCCTCCGATTTCCTCTGGGTTTTTATATTTCCTCCTGTTTTTTCTTTGAGTACTTTTTTTTATTTGATATAATTTTGTATATAATAAAATGTTTCTCAATATACGGAGAACATTTTAAAATACCAATTTAACAGACTTTAATATATGGGGGCCATTCATATATGGTCAATTTTTTCAATGTGCACTAAACATTTTTAAGTGCCATACATAAGAAAAATTAACCTTTTAAATATATATTATGTTTAATATATTTGAGATATTTAAATCTGTCAGAAAGATCCACAATTGTTTCTCCGGGAGGAAAACATATTAAAACTAAAGAAAGAACCAAATGGAAAGAAATCGCCCAAGGGAGGGTAGGACGCGTCTATAGAGTGAGGTGGCCCCCTATGCTCGAACATTTCCCTCGGCGTCTCTTTCCCTGAAAAATTAATAAATAACATGCCCTATCTTTTTAACACGATACAGACACAGACGCTCATACGTACGGATGTACACTCACGTAGATCGCCGGAAGACCTGAAATGAATTCAGGAAAATGCGAGCACCCGGTGTTAAATCGAGTATTTGAACTCTGATGGGTTGATGATAACACTGTCCTACTAACCATCCAACCACAGGTTGGCTCACATGCCTCATTTTTTGTTGCAGCGAATAACAATGCCCCTCTTGAATACAGTTATACAGTATACAAGACAAATCCTATATACATATTTTTCTTGAAGGTTATATATATATGTAAATAGTTGAGCTGATCCTCACTATCTTCTTCTTTCAAGATGTAACTTTGCCAACTCAACATGTCATCATGCATGAAAAATGATCCAACTTAACATACGCCACTGCTAGTTATCCTCAATAAAATATTCTGGAACTACTGTATACTAACAATTAAAATACAATAAATTATGTGTACTTTAGTTTTTACTATCACATTATTAAATAGTATTAATCAAGGTACTTTCATTGAAAATACTCTTGTTTTTTAAAGTGCTTTTATAAGTTTTATTAGGTTTGTGTCATACAGAAAAGAAAAAAAAGAGTCCCGATCCAGCACGTCAAAATCTGGAGGTACGTACTATAGATCACAACGACATTAACAAACTTCTCGGTGTATCAAACCCTCATCCTCGATAGTCCCTGCCATCTATCACGCCGCCCCCCACCACTATGATGCCACGGCACTCGCCTGAACGCCGCCGTCACGGTAGTCTCAGCTCGCCTGCGTCGGCTGCCACGGGCGCTTGTGCACCGCTGCCGGAGGAGCTCATCTTCGACGTCCTTTCCAGGGTTCCGGTGAAGTCAGCGTGCCGCTTCCGGTGCGCGTCAAGGGGGTGGCACGCGCTCATCTCCGATCAGGCCTTCCTCGCCGCTCACAGATCACGCCACGCCGAGCCGCTCCTCGTCACCATCACCTCGTCCCCGCATCACGCCGGCGGAGGCCGCGATCTGCGCCTGATGGACATGGATGGCAATGTTGTGAGGGTGACGAAGGGCGCAGGTGGCCTCACGCTGCTCTCCACGAGCATGGATGAGCTCGTCGGCGTCGCAGAAGTTTCTTCCTCTCGCGTGATCGACCCGGCCACCGGAGAGGTGCTCGCGTATTCCTCGCCGAAGCAAGTGTTCGGGTTCTACATCATGTTTGGTTTCGGTCGCGCCATCCCATCCGGTGCGTACAAGATGGTACGCCTCGTGAACAACCAGACCTTCGAGGTCTTCACTTTAGGAGACAAAAACACAAGGTGGAGGAGGTCGAAGCTACCCCCAATTCGTGTCAACGGATGCTCTCAAGTCACCGCCAATGGCGTCATGTACTTCATGGTCTCAAGGCAACTAGACGATGACGGCTTGCTTCGCTTTGATCTCGAGAGCGAAGAGTGGAAGCCGGCCATAAAAGGCCCGCCGATAGCATCAAGCCCCGAGGAGTGGTGGAATGATGCACAATCGGTCCGCATAGCGGAGCTCAACGGTTTCTTGTGTGTGATTCAATCGGAGATGCAAGCAAGCACCAACGTATGGCTCCGTGCTGATGATTCTTGGATCAAAGCGTACTCGATCCCGGCAGCCCCCTCGTCCTATTATTACATGCCATTGAGGGTGACACACGATGGTGGTAAGTTGATATTCTACTGTTTTTTCCATGGACAAGGACACTTGCTCCGAGCCTACGATCCTGCCACCAACACATGTACAACGCTACGGAGATTAGACGACAGTACTGAAAAAGTTGGCCTTTGCAGTTTGCACTTGGACCGTTTTGTCTTGAACAAGATCTAGTGCTCACCTCTACGTGATTCTACCCAGTTTTAATGTGTTTCTCGTGAACTACGATGATATCTTATTTCACGTATTGGTTTGTAAAGACATAGTCCGACTGGTCTTTGAAAGTTTTATGGAATGTTTCGAATTGTTCCTATAGTATACATTGTATTTTTAACAATCTCTAGTATACATTTGTTTATTTGGAGATCAATAGTATAGTTTAGTGGTCTAACGGGCACTTGACTACTTGACTGGCATCCTTACTTCGTTGCCTGCTTTAATTGGCTAATGCATTTTCTTTCTTTGGAAAGCATTAGGTTTTACATTCATACCATTGTCTTTTTCCGAAGTAGAAATAAACCTGGGAATAGTTTGTCATCCAAACTAAACCCAATCCAACCCACCAACCAAACCAATGCAAACTTTAGTGCTAGAGTCCAAACTGCTAGTGTTTTCAAGCCAAACCATCCAAACTATTTCCCACATACGGTTTGAACCCAATTCAGGTCAGGGTTACATGTGCGTGTCCACGTGGTTAGCTGCTGCTGCATGCTTGCCATTTTCCATCACTCAAGATTGAAACTGTATGTACATCTACATCGTACAGGAAGCAAAGTAACTGTTGCATGCATACAATTACAAGGTGCATCTAAGCTGCTACAAAATCATCATCCTCACTCCAGCCGAAAGAGCCAAGTTAATAAGAGACAGTGTTTTCAAAAGAGACCATGCTCAACATCCAGCAAGAACATTCAACCGCATTATTACATAAGTAAGTTTTAAAAAATGCATGGGATCAACCGGTAAACTGAGGTTGAGACTCCGGCGGAGGAGGAACTCGGCAGCTACGGAGACGACTTGAATCCGATGGTAGCGGCGGTGGCGACAACGTCAACGACTAGTATGTGTTGAAAAGGAAAAAGAAACCAAACCAGGCGACAACCGCAACCACTAGTTCTAACACTGAATGAACATCACATGATCACACTGATTTGCACATGAAGAAATCAATGGGTTGATTTTTTGGTTGCATGAATTGTTGGGTTAGGAGAATAGTATACTCTACATCGTACTTTCTTTTGTTTTCGAATCTCCCTCTGCTTGAACTTTGTTTAGTCAAAAGAGATATTACAAAGGCGTGTACTACAAATCAACCGACTGATTTCCTAGAGAAACTAGCCAGATCCTGGGCCGTCGGATCCTACGCCCGCCACCGTTGGATTCGCTCAATGCCATCTCGTGGGGTCATCCCCTCCTCTCATCACAGCCACAACGGGGGAGCAACCGAAGCGTGCCGTCGTGGGAAGTAATGTCGCCCGACTTGCAGCAGGAGCCGCACCACTCGCCGCCACCGCAGCGATGCTTCACCGACAGCCGACGGCGACACTTCACTGCAGTGCCAAACACCAGCGCAGCGCGCTCCATCGCAGCACTCGCCGCCGCCGGTGATGCTTCACTGCAGAGCCGACGCTGGCGCGGCGGTGCTTCATCGTAGTACCCCACGACCACCGGTGATGTTTCATTGCAGCGCCCAACACCGACATCGCCGATGAAAGCTTCACGGCAACGCCACCGCTGCGCGGCGGTGCTCCATCACAACACCCTGACGGTCACCGGCGAAAGCTTCACTACATCGCCACTATCGCCCGACAAAGCTCTGGCGTCTATGTAGTGAAGGGAATTTTTGAGATACTCGGTTTTTTTCTATGTGGTGGAGATGCAATAGGAGGTGTCGTCATCCTCCTCCTCTAGTTCGTAGAACCGTTGGGTGGGGTGGTCACGCGTGACGAACTGAGATCCAAGCCAATAGCTAGTCCAAGATTCTAAGAGAAATCTCCCTTGCCGGCCAAGTAGGCCAGCGGGGTCAAGACAACGACTAAGATCGAGGCCGATCAGCGCCGGCAAGGTCTCCGGGGCCGCCAAGGCCAAAGCGAAGCCTCAAGACGAAGGCCCGGCAAGCCCCGTGCCGGCAAGCCACCGCCAGTTGCCACCGCTCCACCTCACTGAGACGCCAGTTGCTAATCGGTGCGGTGTTGAGCCCTCAGGCAACTAGGTGGATCCTGTCAGGCACGTGGCTGCACACTGGGAAGAAGATTACCTTTAATGACACCCGTCCTAGAGGCGTGCCAAGCAAATAAGAGGTGGCGTCCTAAAGACCTAGATTTTTAGAACCTTGTTGGGGCTACCTCTCCGCGCGACACCTAGGAAAGCATTCTCGGGCCTCCTTTATAGCTTAAGGGACTACCACAATGGCAAAACAGTCATTATATGATGAATAGATAGCAAACAATGCTATCATAAGGATTTGAACTTTTGATCCCTAGCACTTGTACGCGCGCAGCTGCACTCCCCGTGCACCCTTGCCGGGCTAGAGCGCTCCAGGTCTTCGTGCTCCCACTGATCAATACACCAAAGCAGGGGTAGAGTGTTACGCTGCCAAACCTGAGTAAAAACGAGCCTCCGCGCCGCGTTGTCCCTATGGAAAGGGAAAAGGAAAAGGTAAGGAAAAGAGATAAGTGGCGGAGGACACATGTCCACCAATCGGCGCGGCTTGCGTTCTCTTGTTTTTATCCGGTTGACAATAAACATTTTCCTATTATAAATAGCTAAATACTCCCTCTGTAAACTAATATAAGAGTGTTTAGATCACTAGTTTAGTATTCTAAACACTCTTATATTAGTTTACGGAGGGAGTACTTATTTATGTTTAACAAAAATGTTATCTTCCAAAATATTCAAGGGCAGAACTCGACCGCCTGCAAATAGGTGCACAGGCTGAAAGTTCTGTGTACACATGTAAAAAATATATTCTTTGTATCCTTTGAAGCTGAATTCCCATTTTTTTAAGTTCGATTTTTCATTTGAAAAAAAAATCTAAAAGTCTAGATTCTCTTCATGGTAGCATGCTAATTTCTAGGTCTTTTTGCAACATCCCGCAGCTAGCTTTTGGAAAATTTAATCAATTATTCATGGCATTTTTGGAATTTATTTAAATTTCTCACATGGTAGTTATTTTTTTATGTAGTAGTTATATTTATTGAGAGTACGGCATTTTATTATCATTAATAGGATAGCAGTTTTATCGTAAGTTTTTTTATTATTAGCATTCCTTTTTAATTACTTTACTAATAAAGGAAGGTGATATCCTCCCTTCCTTGATGTCCGGATAGGGAGCGCCTAGTGGATGCATCCGAAAGCCACTACTTCGAGCAGAGGGCCACAACAATCGTCCGCCCCGGCACGATGCGGCATCCGAAAGTATAAATTGAAGTATTGTTTGTCCATACTATTTTGTATATAAGGTGTAATTTTAAAGTTTAGCATGTTAATTTTATTTTTCTAGATCACTGACCTTCTTTATTTTGTACATTGTAAACTTGTATATTAGAAAAGTTATAAAGTACAACCTCTGTTTATATAAGGTGTATTCCTTTTTTACAAGAGTTCATGCATTTCTCTAATTATCCTAGTACCCCTTAAAAAAAGAAAAGTATATCACACCCAATTGAAAATACATTTATGTATTGCATGCTGATGCTTTCCTGGACTTACTGGTCCAGCAAACAACAAATTTGAAGGGTACTGATTGGAATTTTTTTTGCTTCGAAGCTACAGATCTCATTACAACCGCCACTGTTCGTTTGAACAGATCTAATCCTAAGTCATTGTACCGCAATCGCACACCGTACTTGGTATTATGATTACACACTGGCCCCAAGAGCATAGTTCCATTTGTTGAGGCCTGGTTTTTTTGGCCTATTCACCCAGAACGATGAGAATCAGACCGTTCTCACAATCTTAAACCTATTTGGTTTAGGAGGTGCGATTCTCAAAATTCTGGGAGAATCGGTCAAAAGAACTGCGCCTGAATCCCAATCTATTGTTACCAGAACATTAATATGCCATGAATCCACTGTCTAGAAAACATATGTCGCCTCATGCCATCGAACTGTCTTGCATGATACAGTTCATACAGCTTTTTCATGTATAGATCTGGTGCATCTGCACGCTTTTTCATGTGGAGCTGTCCACAGAATCAACAAAAATAAAAGGGCCTCAGAGATCTTGGTGGTTGTGGTCATCAGATGAGGCCATTGCCACATCAAGAGTAGCAAATATTTTGATAACATCACTGGCTCCAAGAAAAACAAGAACAAGCTCGGCAACAACAACCAGATGGCAGATTGTATGATTCGAGTCAGAAGTAGCTGGTTAAAGATCTCATGTTTATTACAAATCAATGGGAATCCGAATGATTTTCTTCTTCATCCTCACCACGATACTGGTCACGGCACCAAACCAAATCAAGAAAGCAGACAAAATTCTCTAGGAAAATAGAAACAAAGAGATGGATTATGGCATGACATCAGGTCAGAAGTAGCTGGTTTAAGATCTCACATTTGTTAGCACAAATCAATGGGAATCCGAATGATTTTCTTCGTCACACCTAGCCACGCCATCAAAGGAAAACAACCCAAACAGAGACGGAGAGATGCAGTCCCGAAACATTTTATTTGCAGAAAACTGAAAATTTATCTGCTTTGTCACCGGCGAATCCTGGATAAACAGAGGACGGCCGGAGCTTAAAAAGCAGACGGGGAGAGCTAGGAAAGTGCTCTCCCCTTTGGTTCGATCTCGCCTAAGGATAGATTCCTCGCCGCAGATTAGCAGCGAACAATTGCAATTTTAGGCCAACAACAGAAGAACAAGACAAGGAAAAGCAAATCAAGATTGGCGAGGAACAAACGAGGAAACACGGCAAATGAAAATCAATGAGGCTCAAAACGAGGAACGAACCCTAGATCGAGGAAAGGGGAGACGAGGCTGCCTGCCGGCGGCGGCTGTGGAAGGAAGAGAGTTCGGGGATCCGGTATTTGTAGCCGTCCTGGCGGGTTGGTGTGGTGGGTACTAACGGGCTAGGGTTTGGACTCGTGGTGGATGTGTACATGGGCTACGGCCCATGAAAGGCTGGACCGAGGTGGTGGTCGGCGACGAGAGAAATGCGAGGATCCGAA